CCTCATGTAAAAAAATAAATAAATAAAAATGCATATGTGCTAATTTTGGTGGAAAAGGGGCACACGCAAAAAAAGGCTTCAGTGTTTTAATAGATTAGGGTGCCATACTTTTATCACCTGGCGTACCCAGAGCATATGGACTAAGTTTTTAAGATGGGTCCAGGCTAGTATAGCAAGTACCAGTTCATAAAAAACATGCCTGCATTGGCCCCAGTCACAGTCACTCGCATTGAAACGTCACAGGGAAAGGCTAGTGTTATCTATTCTGTCGTGTTCGTTTGCTGTGATAACCTAAAGACGTAAAGAAGTTAAGTTTGGGAGCAATTGTCATATTTCCAATATATGGTGAATATAATTAATTGTCAGAGTCAGAAAATTTTCCTTAAACTTTTATAAAAGGGATTTTACATGTGTCTGCTATTGGTTCATGTGCTCTTTGGTAATTTCTCCTGTTTGCTTTAAGTGCGCGACACCTAAGACCAATGTGGTTACATTCATCTCAGAAGAAAAATTAGGCCTGCAGTCCATTGAGGACATTTTTTTATGTTTCATAAAGGTTTATTCATGCAGGCTTATTTAACTGGGTTTCATTATGTTGTGTGACTTTGTCTGTGCTGACTCCATGTACAATATGTACAGTGCTTTGTAATGTATATGCTCATTTGTATAGAGTATTTGGCTGAAAACCAGATGAGAAAAGCTATATTTTGGATGGCCAAGAAAGCCAGGGTGAAGTAAGTGTAGGCCTCCTCTGCTCAGTCTTTAATACTGGGAAGCTTACAGAGCCTTGCTCCCCTTCACCAAGGGGTTAATTAGCAGCTCCCCTCCCAATTGTCCTCTGCTTGTTCACTCTCATTAGTTTAATCTGGCTCTGTCCTCCAGCTTGCTTCTCTTGCCTCTATCCTCTTGTGCACCAGAACATCTCACTGCCTACCCGACTTCTTATGTCATCAGGGTGGAGCCTTTTGTCTCCCCCAAAAATCTACTGGCAAACCCCTCCAGACCATCCTGTGATTTATGTCCCTTCACACCTGCTACCCTTCTGTTTTTATTTAGCCATCAGTCATTTTTGTTTTCATGAAGTTGTCCTTGGGTATTTTAATTGAAATAAATAAATCCATCATTCAGATCTTTATTGTAGGATTACATTTTTCCTTAGTGTAGCTATCAGAGATCCATTTTGATTATTTGTGCAAATAACTTTAGTGCAGTATGTGTTCATTGATGTGATTGGACATATTGTCTAGTTTTGTCGTCCTTTTTCTTACCACTGCACATTAATGGTTCCATAACTATGAGGAAATTTGTTCCCAGGTAGAGACCTTTTTTGGACATTTTAGGATATATTTCTAAATTTAATGCAAGTTACTATTAAATAAAAATGTTAAAATATCTTTAAACTTGCTCTCTGAAAATTCACAAATGCATTGTTTCTATTTATCATTACTTTCTTTGAAATAGATATTTACAGAGAAGTCCACTCACATTATTTTATTTCTCATCCTTTGCACTGTATAATGAAACCTCCACCGAAATGTTCTGTGATTACAAAGCTCATATAGCCCAGTAATATGTCTGTACGGTGTGGAAATGAATGGTGCATGCATGATCATGGCCGCATGGGAAGGAGAAATACCAGTGAAGTGTGTTAGTGTGTGTGGAGTCAAATTACACTTCCTCTCTCCTTGTCACTGTGTTGTGCTCGAGATGTCGGAGCTGATAGGAGTGGCTGGAAAATGTGAAGTCTGCTTCCCTCCTCCTCTTTCTCCTCCTCCTCCTCCCCCACCACCTCTCTAAAAATAGCTGGCAGAAAGAGAAGGCAGCGAAGTCGAGGCTCTATCTGTTGGGCTGCCAGTGGTTTCAACACTCCCACCACCAGCACAAGGGAAAAAGAGTCCTCTGAATCACACCTCTAATACTAATTGCCAGCAAAGACTAGTGCCTTATTTTATGTTTCTGTCAGTAGAAATTCTTTTGCATTTCATCAATTACACATTAACCCAATCTGGGATTTTGTTGCATTTTAGACGCCAGGTTATGTTTGAGCACTGAGACCAGTGAATAAAAGATAAATATTTGTTATTCATTCATATAAAGCAATTTTTGGAGAGGTTTTTTTTAAGGAGCTAGTAGTGGAATGTTTCTGACAGACTGCATCGATCACCTGACCTCAGCCCAACTGAGCATGTGTTTTTCTTATTCAAGCCAAAAATGAAGACAAAAAGCCCCTTAAAACAAGAAAGAAGTCAAGACTACAGGCCTGGCAGGGTGTTACATACCAAGCTTCTGGTGAAGAAGGATTGTAGATTTCTCGCAGTTCCAGATGCAGAGTTTTTGCAAACAAATGACTTTTGTTTGCATCGTAATATGTCTGTTCTATTACTGGTACGGATTATGTGATGTTATCTGTTAATGAGCACCACCTGAACCAATACCCAGTCGAATATGATGTGATCATATGGTTTTCAGACAAACTGACCAGGATTACCCAAACGCTTCAATAAACATCTTACTCGGCCACCATGGACCGCAAAGGGTATTCCAGTTGTGCCCTCTGCCATAATATTATTTAAAGCCAGGACAACCAGTGCTTGCTTGCAGACGGAATGGATGCTGTTCACATGTCATAGCAGCTTCAAGGTTTGTGTGACCACCAGCAAGTAACATTTTGCGCCGCAGACTCCACCCCCATAGTTCCTGGGCCATGGGAAAACACTACCTCAGGAGCAAGTATGTTTATAGGAGCAGGATCTGGTGCCCTTTGCATTGTTGCTCTGCAGGGCTTGGCGAACGTATCAGAAGGACAACAGTGTGTTTATAATTAATACCTCTGGACTGACAGTATAAGATATAGTTACTAAGGTGTCCTGAAACAAAAATTCAACAGCAGTGCCTGAATTTCAAGTGCTATTTCTGGCAAAAACCCCTCACCACCACCACCATGGCAGCAGTGTGCATTTAATGCCTTTCAGTGACATTTTACAATTAACAGTGAATTAGACAGAAATACAGAAAATTGAAACAAACTTGTTAGATTGTAACACAAGGCTTCGGAGGCACGGTTATTTTAGCTGTGTGTAACAAATTGAAGTGAAGGAAGATTTATTAGCAGTAGAACTTTGGTCGTTGTGTTATTCATGCACTGCGGTGTATATGAATCATCCTAACGTAGACTTCATCAACCAGTAGAAGATATACATGGTGCATTACACCTTTTACAGATGTCCAGGTGTTACACTTTGAAATGTTTTCAGGTTCCGAAATATGTTGACCAGCTGATAGCTTTTGTTGAAAAGGCCACTGGTGGGTTACATTTTCTCTTACACAGTATGTGGACTGTTACAGAGAAGAGAAGAATTAGCCCATGATATTACCGTGAGATGTTTTTATCAACCAAGATTAAGGGTTAAAGCGCCTTGCCTGGACGCAGACCCATTTAGCAGCGCTGGCCAATCAGGTGACAGGTAGCGACTGAGATGTGAGGCGCTTGAAGGATAAGGTGTTCATTCAGAAGGTCTCAACACTCCCCAGGACAAAGGACCTATATTGAAACCCAGAGAAACAGGGAGGTAAGGTGTGTGTGCAGTATAAATGGTACTGTAGTTCGCTTTTGTTTGACACATGGGCAGTGATGTCACGTAGTGTTTCCTAGAAGGAAGTTAAGTTTCATAAAATTGTGTTCGTAACTGGTCCTTGAAATGAGTGAGAGGAGAGAGCGCCAAAGGAAAACCATTCCTTAATTTTCCTCACTGGATGGAGTCATCCATCGTCATTTTTCAAATCATCCTGGAGTTAACTGTTTCAGTGGACAGCTGTTTAGGAAAGTTTTGTCTGCTGACTTTTCCAGGCACTTAAAATAGTAACAATGGTCCCACTTACACTGTCTTCCATCAGTGTCATGCCTTTCAAGACTGTAAGCCAGATTTCATAATTGTGGCAATTGTATTTTTCTTTTTAGTAGAATTTGTCGTCTTTTTATGGAGAGTGAAAGTGTCGGTGCTAAGAGCGTCAACCAGAGGATTGGGGTCAGCGGGATAGCCACTGCTTTTAGGATCATCAGCAGGTTTTGTCTTAACCGGATTTGGCTGGAGGAGCTGAATCAACTGTGTCCCAGGATTACAGGGATGACATTGGAGGAGAGTTTAGAGTCCAGAGGCCAGAGCATTGACAGCTTCGTCAAACCTGGCCCATCATCTGAGCTCCATCGGGTTCCAGTAGTGCAGCAAAACCCAAGCTGGTCTCTTGGTCTGCCTCTCTGCTTTCTTGATATCTGGACTCTTAATCCTTCTTTTGACAGTCCAGGGGTATGTTTGCTTCTTTATGGCTGAGTGGAATTTTTTAAACATTTTTTTAAATATTTATTTTTGCCGTGGCTGTTGAGGAATGGTTATCAGCTGCTCAGTGTGGCCAAATCTTTGCCCGGGGGTTTGCTATTGTTTGTGAGGGGAGAGAGAACAAATTCAACATCATCCTCAAAATTGTTATCTTAAGCCTAAAGTAGCTGCTTAGTGCTTGTTGCTAGGTAACAGTTTCAAGCTGGCAAGGACAAGTCTCGAGCTGTCTAGAAAGTGTTGGGCTGTTGTGATTCCCTGCGACTTTGTCTGGGCCTTGCAGATTGGATTTAAGAGACTATGTGATCCTCAGCTGCATTTTGTTGAAGTTATCATGTCCATCAATCAATCACAGACGGTGAAGCACATCATGTCTTTAATGTAATTTGGTGCACTAGTATTCAGAGTAAAAAAGTCATGAGTACAAGTTACCTAACTGTAAATTTTGTGTATTACCAGGTTGGAAATTAGCACCAGCCAACAGCCAAATGCTGGTAAAATATGCAAGTGGCTGCAAGATTTGCCTTACTCAGCAGCCAGAAAAACATTGGTAAAATATTGGGTGACTGGTGGATACAAAAGAGTTCATTTGCAACCCTGATTACCACCAACATGAAAAGAGCAGTATGTAGTATGTATGTTGAGCCTCTCGTTTCTTGTCTCCTCCAGATCAGCAAGAGTCTAGGCGGCGGAGCGAAGCACACCATTAGCAGAGGAAAATGAGTGAACTGGATCAGCTACGCCAGGAGGCTGAGCAGCTCAAGAACCAGATCAGAGTAAGTCCTTCAACATCCTCAAGTCTGCCTGCTTTGTTTGTTTTTTAAGTTTTATTTTGTTCTGGTTGTGAAGATCGACATTTTGTCAATTAAGGTTTGTGCTTGAGACTGATATTTCAAACTGGTGTTGATGAAAACAGATTTTTCACTGAGAAGCTTCTTATTTTGATGATGCTTCATTAATATTGACATTGTAAGGATACAGCACAAATGAAGCTACTTCAGCCATTCAGAGTTGACCTGCTAGATTAAAAGGTGTTTCGTACTTCAAAATGCAGGTCTGTCATGGTTAAGTGTTGGGAGATAGAGAAGTGTTCACAGGTTTTATACCCAATGACATTATATAAGTACATGATAGTATGTTAATGCATGTTGTCATTGGCTCAAATGTTAAAATTCACTGAAATCATTCCTTAAGACGCTGTGTAGCAGCCACCAAAGACTAGTGGGATGACAATATTCCATTATGAGCCACTGTACTGTATATCACAGATGAATGGTGTGACACTAAGCCGTCTGCAAAAGCCCATACAGGGTTCCCATCATTGTAGTGATATGCAACCTAATGAGAATCCATCTTTCTTTTATGTCATTTTAAATGGTTATGGTCATTGCCACAATGCAGTAAAGCTGAGATCACACAATTATACATTTATGATTTCATTTTGACATAGTACATTGATTTAGTAGTCAAGGAGCCCCAGAGCCCACTGGCTTTTGAATTACAATATGATATCATTTTGTGACAGAGACAAGATCATTTTGATTACTAGTACTGAAGCTTTACTCTTTCAGTAAACTTTGTGCTATAAACACAATTTGGTTTATACCAAAAATGATTCACTTTGCAACACAGAACTTATTTATTCACCAGTTGTGAAGACTTTGTGGGCTGAAATAGATTTGACTGAGTTGTTGTGTTTCAGGATGCCAGGAAAGCGTGTGCGGATGCTACCCTGTCTCAGGTGAGTAATATGTTCCTACCATAATCTTAACTCACCATTGTTTAGTTAGTTAATTTTGATCAAATATATTACCAACTATACTAAAATCAGCTTTCTTGTTTGGCTTTGGGTGGTGTTTATACTGAGTGCATGATTTGAAAACTGCATTCTTGTCATGGTTTTGTTTGTTATATCTTTAATTGTGCCTTTAATGTTGTAACCAATAGAAATGCCACCTCACTATACCACACTACTTGAAGTTTGAGTTCAAACAGCACAAAAATAGATGACAGTCTGAGCGTAACTTTTTCTCCCATCCTAATCCCGTTTAGATCACAGCTAACATCGACCCTGTTGGCCGAATTCAGATGCGCACTAGACGGACACTGAGGGGGCATCTGGCTAAAATCTATGCCATGCACTGGGGCACTGACTCAAGGTAATCTCATTCAACTTCATTCTGTCCATTAACTAAATATTTCATCCCATCAGCCCCGCCCCCTCGCCTAAATGCAGGAAGTGGATATAAAGGCAAGCTTGACTGTCTTTGTGCTGGTTACTTTTCCTGAGGGTCCTTGTTAAATCATGACATTCCACAATAGCTCACTCCTGCATCCAAAAGCAGTTCTTTTTTGTTACATCTGTCCCGAGCAATCTATCAGGTTAACAAGTACTCAGTTTACTAACAATTCAACAGTGAGATATTTCTACAAATGCACAATAAGTAATACATTTTTTGTTGAATACAAATTGGGCATGAATCAGACACACTATCTTTACTGTGCTGTGTGTCTATGTGTGCTGTGTTTGTGTGCATTGGGGGTGGGGTATGTGGGTAGGGAAAATACTCAAAATGGAGTCAGCCTTTGTTAGAGCCGTGTTGAGGCTAGATAGCCAAAGCAGATGAAGCAACACTCCTCTGTTCACATATAAAGCCTTTTCCCCAGAGTTGCACACTCCTCTCACCTCAGCAACCAACAAGTTAATCACTGTGGTGCTGGTGTGCTTCGGTCCACAGAGAGACCATTGCAAACTGCTATGTCACCTCATCATCTTTCCAGTCGTATACCTAAGAAAAAGTCAACCACTGTTTTTATCCACTGTCAGCTCTTCCTGTTTGTTTGTTTCATCTGTTAATGTTTTACCTCCCAGAGGAGTTGGGGTATTTATTAGACTACCTGCTGAGATTCAGCCACCCAGAAAGAAGGTCACATGAAGATGTTTTGACCCATAGTCTAGGCTAAGTCTGCTATTTTTAGCCCCATGGAGACACTACTTGTATTCAGTCTGTAGTGGGTTGCCAGCAGTTTGAGAAAGAAAACCATCAGTTGGTTCCACTTCCTCTCGTTAGCTAATAATATATCGAGTTAAATGTTCAGCGTGTAGTGCTCTGAAGATCCAAAAACAACAAAAATCTTTATCCTCTAAGAGGCGAAGCTTTTTAGATGTAGTATTTTAATTAAGAAAAAAAGTTGTAGCCCAAATTCACTGTTGATGCTAATGATCTTGTGGGTGCAAACAACTTTTATGTGAGTGCTTTATGTGAGCGTCCAACTTAAACTGTAGCCATGTCACTGCCCTGATCCATCAATGGAAATAGCTGTTTTTTCCCTTCCCAGTTTTATTCTAATGCATGTGAGAAATCTGATATTGTAGTCCATAAGGCAGTAGGAAAGAAGGGTGTTTCTTTTTCTTTCTTTCTTTCTTTCTTTCTTTTTTTTACAGTAGCACTTGGTATTGGCGTCAATAGAGGGAGCTTGAATGATAAAGATTGAACTAGATAACCTTAATCCTCATGGAATCAGTCATAACTCATGTCCCACATGAAAAGATTTCTTCATAACCACAGTTGACTCGAAAGTTTTTTTGTTTTTTTTTTGTTGTTATTTTCATGGCCTTGCTGATATAATACTGCCCTTGTTACAGTTGCCTTATGTTTCTCAAGTAAAGGGCTTTCAAATCGATGTTAATTTCTTTATTACATATTTGCCCATTTTATTATAATCTAGGGGTGCATCACTTGAGGAAAACACGCTTTAATGTCGTTAAATATCGCAATTACAATATTCCTTGTAATAAACGGATATTAAAGTGTATTTGGTTCTTGACTCAGACTCGCACAGTACCTGTCCTTGTGCCGCGTTGTCTCTCACTCACCTTGTCACACTTTCCCCTTTCATCTATGCAGAGTAGTATAGCAGCACTTGTCTAATAAACCTCACTCACATGCGTTTAGATTCTTAACAGCGAGGGATCTGCCTGATTGGCCAGAGTTATCATGGCATGTATCGGACACAACAGTGCCTACAGACAGAATGTAATTTAATATGTTGTTACTATATTCAGAGTACGGTATTGCAATGTGTTTATCACCCAGGTTGACATCTTTAAAAAAAAAACCTACATTGTACAGCCTTAATATAATCATTACAGCACACTTACAATACAATGTCTGCATTAGATTTAATAGACAGAAATTTTAAGAGTGTTATAAGCTTCAACAAAATGGCACCAAGCATTGACATTAGTCTGTTAATTATTGTTTTTCACATAAGCCATAACCCATCATGGACTTAAGCATCTGAAGTTGTACTCTTAAAAACCTTAATGTGATTTCGCATAGAAGCGCTTTATATCAGCTGAAGTTCAGAACAAGAATGTAAAACGTAAGAAGAAATTGTAAAATCTCATCCTCTTTTTCTCCTGCTATTCACTTAAGTTGAACAGACCTAGAGCCAAACACAAACTCCTCTACTTGTGTATGTCACTCAACAGCATCACAGTTGCTCAAACAGACCTGATTGTGAACTCAAAATCAGAACTTTTCAAACATTGGGAGACTATTACCAGACATGTTGCCAGAGCTCTATTTTGGCTAGCAAGTGAGCACCTTAATACATTGCATCATCATCTCCCAGCTGTCACACAACACACACACACACACACACACACACACACACACAC